ATGTCTGTTGGCGCCCCGTTATAATTCAATTATAACAAATAACAAATATGTTTATTATAACACATTTGCAGTTTTGCTAGCTGAACTATTTTTTAGCGCAACAAGTCGACCTTATTCCCTCGTTTATTCTCTGCACAACATTCACATTATTCACAACATGTTTGTGCAAGGAGAAAAAGCGTTACCTACTAGTTCACCTATTGTGTATAGTGTCACCTGTTTATTAATCGATAAACAGGTAATTCTCATGTCTGACACGCTAACGCATTTAACTTTTATTCGACAGATGTGTAAATTATGTGAGGCGGAACTATTACTCATTCAGATATTCCCCCTTAGTATATTCACTGTTTGCTGTATAATGGGTTGCCTATATTAAAATCATAAAGAAGATAAATTATTTACACAAAATATTTAGATTTTAAAAATACATATTTACCAATTTAACGCTGAAATGTAAATATATCAAAATTTATCACCGTCACAGCACGCCGTATGTTAAATTTAGGAAATAATACATAAAACATGCTTTTTCGCTCAGCTCTTCTCTGCATTCGCTTGTTTAGCGATAAATTCTCTGGTTTAATGGCACAATGCTGTCGGTGCAAGTAAATTAACTCATTAATTCATTAAAACTCGAGGACATTACGAAAACTTTTCGTCCGCGAGCTTCGTTTGAAAGTTTTGACACATTATTTTTGACAGCAATGGCGCTCGCATACAATACGCGGACACCGTAAAACTCAAGAAACAAACGAGTTTGTATTGTGTGTGCCGTACACACACACACAATGTGTCTTCGCGATGAGTCGGTGTGCGTGTCGGCGCATCTCGGCATGCCAGCCGACAACCGTGAGAATTTCCCGGCGGCGCGCTGTCCTGCACAGTCCTGCAGTCGCCAGCGATCGTTCGCGTGCGGAGCTTCTCGCACGAACATGTCGCGCAGCCATAGCGCACACAACACCACCGAATAAATCGAAATTCGGCGGACGTTCACTCGCATTGCATACTGTCGATTGTGTATGCAGGTAGAAATCAAAATAACTGGTTATTACCGTCGATTGAAAGCAGTTAGTTGTGTTACCACTGTGAAGTCGGCATAGAATTATCGACCGGTTGGAAAATCTATGCGATGAAAAATTAATTATAACTCGGGCAGTAACAGACATGTGATTGTGAGATTGGTTGGGTTAGTTTTTTTGAAAACCTGAGAGTTGTTTTAATTTGGCGACGCGATGAAAGATCCGGTGACGAAGCCAAAGTACGCGAAGCTTCCGGAACAGCCGGAAACAAAGGTGATCTATGGGGAAGCTGTCACCAAACCGCCAATTACGGTGAGTTATGAATATTTAAAAATTTTAATTTAGGTTTTTTAAGCATTTTTAAGTAAAAAAATTAAAATTTTGATTTTTCTTTGATAACTTTTTATAAAATAATTTTTTTGAGTTGTTATTTATATAATTTGTCATAAAATTGAACTAAATCAGTTCTAGGGGTAATAATTTTAATAGTTCATTGTTTTTTGAGGTAATTTTGTAGAAATAGTTTTTTAAACCGTTAATTCAAATGATTATGAAGGTTAAACATCCGAAACGTGTTTCTTTTTTTGTTTCTATTAAATAATTGATTTGAATTGAATTATTTGATTGCCAATCAAGTTTTTTGAAAATTTTATTGCTTTAAAAATAAATTCACTATTATTACGCAAATTTATAATAAAATAAATATATTTAAGCGATTAATTAATATTTAAAATTAGTTGTTGGCCGTTTTAAACACGGCTGACATTTTCCGCTGGTGGTGTGTTTGGTAGCAAACCGGCCGTCGAGCTTTGCGGATCGATAAATTCACCGTATCGTTGCCGCACACTCGCCGCGACCTATAAAACTGAATTTTACATTTTCGTCATTTACTACGGGGTTGATTTCAACATTTTCAGCCAAAGTTTCTACACTTTTCCATTAAAATGTAGCTTCGGAGTTACGCAACCCACCATACACATATCCAAGCAAACAAATTGCAATCTGCATCAGTCACCTCACCGCAAACATCCATATCTTGCGAAATAAAAATTACTCGATAATACTGTGATTTTATAATAAGTAGTAATTAAAAATAAATGCTTTGCATATTCATGATGGAAAGATACCATACCGAAGAGTATAATGTGTCATATTAATAAAACAGCGAAATAGGCCAGCTTGCGCCGCACTTTTATCGATTATGCTGATCAACCTGTTGAGAAAATACTCTGCATGCGTGTGTATAAATTGATGGAGTGTAAGTTTATGCATGCATGTGAGTGTGTAACAATCGCTTGCGATTGTTTCCAATGGCGTGGTTTCGGTAAGACTACGTTGATGTCGTCGATTCGTCGGCGACGCTGTTTGTGTCATCGTTTTGCTGCGAGCACACATACCTGTGCCGTGGAGCGGGTTGTGAGATCAATACTAATACACGGGGGGTGAATCAATAATTTCAAACGGTGGATATTATAAATATCGCGATTAGTATGAGTGCCGAGGGGAATGAAAATGTAAGTAAATTGTATAGTTGTAGATTATGGTGTATAAGTTAGGTTATGTTTAGTTCCGGTGTGAAGGTGATGGTGGATAAGTAAATTTTTGTATTTGAAAAGTAGATTTTAGGATTTTAATTGGTGGAAAGTGGTTATATGTGGTTATTATTCACCTGAAATGGTTTCATTTAAATTGGTAGTTATTTTTGAATGTTGTTGATTGTTCTTTCACGGATATTAATGGTACCGTATGGAGTTGGAGGCCAGTGCTTATTAAATCGTAGAAGTAATGGATGCACCAGTGCGTAAAAGATAACTTTTTTATCGTTGTAAACAGCAATCAGCAATCTTAGTTATGATAAAGTGTCGCTGTGGCACTGATTGTGTGCGATATTCGTAACAAGCATATCCAAAAGGATAATTTTAGACGTTTTCTCCTAAACTATGTATTATTTTACGTTTAATATATGTTTACTTACTATTATGTGGACAAGAAAAAATTATACACTTAGTAGCCGTTGTCTATCATTGGAAACGTGTATAATTTGAGTAGTATAGTAATTATCAGTAGCGCTAAACGGCATTTTAAAATGTTTTACAACGTAACATTTATGCTATTTTTGCTGCTTCCACTTTATTTTCATGTTTAGGTTTCTATATTTGAACTTTAGTATTTTAAAACTTCGAAATTCATTCGTATTTCGTATGGCCTGGTACTGCACCGTAAAGAAATGCGCAGGCGCAAGCTTTACCCGTGACTAAAGTTCTTTAGTCACGATTTTAGCCATCTGTGATTAAAATGCCATCTTTTGTGTCTCGAAACCGTGGGGAAAAGTAGCGTTTTAAAGTGGAAGAATTAAAAATTTTCTTTTTGACTTGTTATAAACGGCAATCAACGAATAAATAAAAAAAATGTTTCATATTGTGTTTCATACTTTTTGTTTTATGTTTAAAAAGATGATTTTAGCCATTTTCTGCAAAACAATGTATCATTTTCTGCTGAATACATGTTCATTGTCAATTATACTGACAAGAAAAGTAATATAGATATACTTCGTATTCGTTGTTTACGTGTATAAAATGATTTTTTGCTAATCATATCACAAGTTTATCACTTTTCTTGCCATATTTAGCATTGTATAAAGAAAAGTATATCAAATTTTAAATAATCAATACCGCTCCTTGGTTATTTATTTCCATACAGGGTGAACAATCGCAGATTGTAAAAACAAAAACTTGATTCAATTGTTGATTAACCACTGTGAAATTGCCACCCATTGTAGAAAACGCACAATCATTCACCGTTTGCGACTTTTTTTCGGTACGACCACGGTTAACGTTTTGCGATAATACTTGAGGTAGTAAACGCGTAAAAAATTATGGAATGCTTAGTAATGGCCGGTCGAAGTCGACTTGTCGCATTGGCCTAATTTAAGCTCGAATGCGCGTCGTGTAAATACATTGCGAATGTCAAGACGCACAATGCGCACCGCGGCCGCCCACTTGCAGACATGGCTCGCGCGCGCGTCGAATGCTTCCGTCAGTATAATTATTTTAATATCGGATGATGAATAGAAAATATGCGGTGTACATTTTTCCACATGAAATAGTACACATTTTGTGTTTGTAATGGGTCTGAATTTCTTCCGGTTCATGTTCATTGCGATAAGGCAAACATTTTTACATTTGTGGAAAAATGTATGAAAGGAATGCTTGGGTTGTAGGTATAATTTTCATCTGAAGCATTTTTGTTTGTGTTGATTGTTAAATATGCTTATAGTATAAATTTGCTCCTGTCAGTACGTTTCTTTTGTTTTATTATTAGCTGTGCTAAGAATCGTCATAAAAATGGTCAATATTAATTTTTAATTCCTGGAACACGTAATAAGTTAAATTTATTTTAGTTTTTTCTGTCATTGGTAGTACTAATATTATGCATGTGCTTTAAAATAGCCTTTTACTGTGTAGGCACTAAAGTAAATATTGCTATATTTCTATTATCTCCAGTTTTTCAGGAAATTTAAACAGTTATATTTCATATTTTAGAAGTGTTTTAGGCTATTTTCATATCTGTTTTAATTTCATTTTTAAAAACCGCCATAAAAATGTTTAATTCCAGAAAGACATAAAAAGTTTTATTTATTAAGTTTTTTCTATCATTGGCCGTCTTAATATAACCTTCAATGAAGAAATTGCATTTTACTGCCTAGGCACTAAAGTAAAAAATTGCAATACCATTCTCATCTCAAGTATTTCATGAAATACTTGAAACAAATGCATTTAATATTTTAACGTTAAAAAGTCATTTACGCGGTTTTCTTTCCGTTTTAACTTAATTTTTTTACCCAAATTATTTTTAAAACCAGTTATTATTATAATTACTATAATTATAATATTTCGTCAAATTTTAAGGAATGTAAGGCATCGTGTCTTCAATAGATATATAAAGCATGAGCTTTAATTTTGTCATTTTGTTATAGAGCGACGCCGACATAATGTGGCTGAACACGGCCGAGGCAAGCGCTTGCAGTGCCGAAGAAGTTGCCGGCCGACTGCGCGTCGATCCGCGCTTGGGCCTCAGCTGGCAGGAGGCGACTTACCGGCGACAAGCTCGCCGGCTACAATGAGTTCTCCGTCAAGGAGGACGAACCGCCGTGGAAGAAGTACCTGGAACAATTTCAGAATCCACTCATTTTACTACTTCTTGCCTCGGCGTTGGTCTCCGTGTGCATGCGACAGTTTGACGATGCCATCAGCATCACCGTGGCGATTGTCATCGTGGTCACGGTTGCTTTCGTGCAGGAATATCGCTCTGAACAGTCGTTGGCGGAGCTTACAAAATTGGTACCACCACAGGCACATTGGTAAGTAAATTATTCAATTATTCTTAATTTTTTTAAACATTTTTTTCTTTGTAGTATTCGAGAAGGATCTCCAGATTCATTCATGGCGCGCGAGTTGGTACCCGGTGACGTGGTGCGGTTGAGCGTCGGTGATCGTGTACCGGCTGATCTTCGTCTCTTCGAAGCGGTGGATTTGTGTATCGATGAAAGCAGCTTCACAGGCGAAACGGAGCCGGCGGATAAAAACGTCGCTCCAGTTTCGAATCCGAATGGCACGCATACCGAGTACACCAACATTGCGTTTATGGGCACCCTCGTGCGATGCGGCTTCGGCAAGGTTTGTTTACGTCTTAACTCTCAAATTCTGTTTAGATGTAGTGTAAACATCCTATTTTTGAATAATGCATTATTCAGAATTCGTTCATTTACTATCTGTCGTTTGTAGGCGTTGCTTTGTTTTACAAAATGAGTGAATATGTGTCGTTTAATTTTCTTGGTGTAAATTTTTTTTATATTTTTGAAATAATTAATTATTTAATGTCATTTTTAGGGTGTTGTGATTAATACTGGCGTGAATAGTGAATTCGGCAGTGTTTTCAAAATGATGCTCGAAGAAGAAGCGCCGAAAACTCCACTGCAAAAGTCCATGGATAGTCTGGGAACTCAACTGTCAATGATCTCGTTTGCCATCATTGGTATGATAATGCTCATTGGGTGGCTTCAAGGCAAACAGTTGCTTGAAATGTTTACAATTGGTGTTAGTTTGGCCGTTGCTGCAATTCCTGAAGGTATAAATTTATTCATTTTATATTTTGTTATATATTTTACATTATAATTTTATATTTTATAGGTTTACCCATAGTTGTAACCGTAACTCTTGCATTGGGAGTGATGCGAATGGCTAAGCGCAATGCGATTGTAAAGAAACTACCCACTGTTGAAACCCTCGGCTGTGTAAATGTGATCTGCTCGGATAAAACAGGTACGATTACCAAAACGAAATGACCGCTGCGGATGTGCGTACATCCGAACTCTACCAGGCTGATATTACCGGCACCGGATACAATGACATTGGAGAGGTGATCTTGCGTAAATTTGACTCAGCAGATAAAACCCGCGAGAGTATCTATCAGGTGTTCGAAGCGGGTGTGGTGTGCAACAATGCTCGTTTACAAGATGGCGAACTCAAAGGCCAGCCGACAGAGGGCGCTCTACTCTGCGCCGCCATGAAACATGGTATGTTCAATCCTGGCGATCGTTATATCCGTTTACAGGAATATCCATTCAGTTCGGAGCATAAAATCATGGCGGTTAAATGTATACAAAAGTACGATAAGTCCAAACAGGAAATCTTCTTTGTAAAAGGTGCGGTTGAGCGGGTGCTGGCGAAATGCACGAAATATTCACAAAATGGCGTAGCGCAACCTATGACGCAGAATAGGGTACAGGAATATATGCAGGATGCATCATCAAGTGCAAGGGAAGGATTGCGAGTGGTTGCGATGGCTCGCGGTGATTCATTACAAGATTTAATGTATTTGGGTTGTGTTGGTATTCGAGATCCACCGAGGGCGACTGTTCAGGATAACATTTTGACGTTGTTGCAATCCGGTGTGCAAGTAAAAATGGTAACGGGTGATTCCCGAGATACTGCCGTGTCGATTGCACACCAGGTTAGCATTGAAGCAAACCCCTCACAGGTGGTATCCGGTGAACAATTGGATGCGTTCGGAGAGGCTGAGTTGGATGCCGCTGTACAACATGCGACTGTGTTCTACCGAGTATCACCGAAGAATAAGTTGACGATTGTTAAGTCACTGCAACGCACCGGACATATTGTTGGCATGACTGGTGATGGTGTAAATGATGGAGTTGCGTTGAAGAAGGCGGATATTGGTATTGCCATGGGACAAAACGGTACGGATGTCTGCAAGGAAGCGGCGGATATGATTCTGACCGATGATGACTTTGGCACTATCATGTAAGTTTACTTTTTAACTATAGGCAACTAAAATTACAAAAATATTAATTTTTGTAGTGCTGCAATTGAAGAGGGCAAAAGTATTTTCTACAACATTCGCAATTTCGTACGGTTTCAACTCTCGACGTCAATTGCGGCGTTGTCGCTGATCGCGTTAGCTACATTAATGAGTATTCCGAATCCATTAAACGCTATGCAAATTCTCTGGATAAATATCATTATGGATGGACCACCGGCGCAGAGCTTGGGCGTTGAGCCTGTTGAGAACGACGTGGTGCGACAAAAGCCGCGCAACACCAAAGAACCGATGATTACACGCAAATTGGTTGGTAACGTGTTCCTTTCGGCCAGTATTATTATCGCCGGTACCTTGTGGGTATTTCAAAAAGAGGTAATTGTGTTGTCAACTTTTTTTTTGTGTCAGTAGAGTTAAATTTTGTTGTTTTGGGTTTAGATGAGCTCAGCTGGTATCACCGCTCGAGACACCACCATGACGTTTACGTGTTTCGTGTTTTTCGACATGTGGAATGCGTTGTCTTGCCGGTCGCAGACCAAGAGTGTGTTTACGATCGGTTTGTTCTCGAATCGCATGTTTCTCGGTGCTGTGACGCTCTCCGTTGTGGGACAGCTACTGGTTGTATACTTTCCACCTCTGCAGAGAATATTCCAAACGGAGGCTTTGACTATGTGGGGTAAGTACTTAAATTTAATTCTTAGCGATTTTTTTGTATAAACTAATGCCATATATTTCAATCCTTTAGATATGATATTCCTAACCACATTGACATCATCAGTGTGGGTGATATCTGAAATTAAGAAACTTATTGAACGTGTGATGGAACAGCGCGGTAAGCAGGGCAAGCGATCGCCGCTGGAATACGTATGACGGCGTCGGGGGCCTGGGGCGAAAACCCGCCGCGACTAGCCGCATCCCGTTCCTTGCCCCTTTAGCTGTGGCCCCTAGAATGTGCAACACAAATAACGACTACCTACGCGAATGAAACTGATGCGAAGCGATTTTGATTTGAAAATCCCTTGATTTTATATCGATTCACCAAAAGTATTATGCACATTTTTCTGGGTTTACATGTTTTATCATCATGTTATACGTTGCAGCTAAATCGGTTTTAGTTTATTTCTAGCAGGACGAATGTGGTTTTTACTTAATTTATATTTTATTGTGCGTGTATGATGACTTGTTGAATGATTGGGTGGCGAAAAATAGCAGAAGGACCATTAGTATGTTAGGCAACTTTATACACATCACACAAACTTTGCAATTGTTTTTCATTGCCATTATTGTGTAAAGTAAGTTATTGAGAAGTTAAGAATGAGATTTGAGAAGGAGAGAAAAAAAAATTGAGGCAACCAAATTGCGGGAACAAATTACAGATGAATGTGCTGAATATTTACCATTTCGACGCGTGACCACTTACGTCACCTTTTAAGTAAATTTAATGTATATGTAAGTACATACCATCTTCAAAACCTTTAACTAGCGAAATAGAAGTAATAATATCTGCCTTAAACGAGTAGCAAAACGGCACAATTGATCCGTATTGAGATGATAATGTTGAAACTATGATTTGTACATAATATTTAACTCGACGTTCGAAATGAAGAAAAAACATCATCATCAATATTAACAACTGAATGTATATGTTTAAGATAGCAAAGTTTATATAGTCTACTTATGTACTTATCGTACTTTGTCGCCATTTGCACTAACAGAAAGCGCGTGAGAGGATATATCATAGAAGACATGAAAATATATTATTCTGTGATACACTGTTATAGTTTGTATAAAAGCACCAGAGAGAGTTTGGCGTGTTGCGTATGTTTGTTTTTGCAATATTGTTGAACTATGATTGTTAAACTTGGACAACACGCGTGTTTATTTCGTTTGCGTTCAATTCGCCATTTTTTGAAGTCTTATTATGAACAGCGTGAATATGAAATGTGTGCACACATTTGTTGTTGACGAGTTAGATTGTAATTGGCAAAGGAAATTACTGCAGCGCACGTTTTATACTGCTGTCCTCTTTCTATCTCTAGTTCTTTGTATATTCTAGTTGTATATTGTATTAAGACAGAATGAGGCTTGAAATTGCCAAAATTGCAACCACAACAAATACTTTGGTGTCTATTTATAAATGGAAATGAAATGATGTGCGGATTGAATGAGGTCGGATTTTATAATATTGTGCACTTGCGCACGAGCGAAAAGACAAGAAACTTGGTGCTGACGTTGGTGATTGCAAAAAGCGGGTTTTACACTTGTGCATTCCTTGGAGATTTGAATTGAAAGCAGATGCAAATAAATTCTGTAATCGAAGATTGTTTCACGATGCATTTATTGTTTGTTTACATGGTATTTATACTTCAAAATAACTTTGTAACTTTGGTTATTTTATTTTATTTGCATATTTGGTTGCCTATTGTCAACATGCACCCGCATAACAGTTTATTTTACAAGAATGTCTGCCTCGCACAACCCGATTATCTTATCAGTAATGATTGCACGGTTGGGTAAGAATATATCGTGCAAATATTTATCAATTGTTATGCATTTTTATCATTGCATACGCGTTTGAGCATATTTTAATGTAAATTATTCAGTTATTTGCAAACCGCCGCCACCATTTTTAAGCATTGCATGTTGAATCTAGTTCAAATCATTTACAGCGAGACACATTTTAATTAAGCGCATTGACTCAGAAAGTTGATTAATCGCTGTAAATAGATTTGACCCATAAAAAAAGCCGACGAAGCATTCGTGATTGCTTGCAGCTTTCGTTCCGAAAACTGTCTTCTTTTTTTGTTATAAATTTTGTGGAATGCGCAAAAAATGTCGACGTCGCCGACCCAGACACCAGATTCGTGTCTCGATGGCAGGGTAAGCAACACAAATCAACAGTTGTATTAAGCGGTTGGCCGTATCGTGAGTCCAAATCCGTCTAGCACGCTCTAACGAAATCAAAAAGTTGGCAAATTCTGCGGTATACCGTTACAAGCGCGTGCGCACCGCTGAAATTACGTGCGCGTCACCGCGTGCGCCGTTCGCGACATTCGGGAAAGGGAAAATCATGGCAGCGAAAATTAACAACATTGACCCACCATCGTCCGCCAGTTCTGATAGGTAATTAGAGGTGATTCGTGCGCCGTGCCGGTGATAACACACGTCGTCATAGAGTGCGCGCTGACATACATAAAGTTACCATGAGCATCCACGAGGGTCTGAAGCCCTCGCGCCTGTGGCCGCCGTCACCAAAGCGTGCATGCAGTTGCTGCACATGTACGAGTTTGTCCAGCAAATATTAAGCGTGTCATCACCGCGGGTTGATTTTTTGCTTTCGGATTACCTTTTTCGGCCATTCGCGACTTCCTTGCATGCTGGCAATTGCCACATTTGTTGAAATTCTTTTATTTACGCACTACCGCATGGGGGGATGACATAACCTTCAAAAATTCAAATTTCTAATCCGCGAGATAAATGTATCAAATTGGAAATTAAGACATTTAAAAAATAATTTCGGTTGATTGTTTAGAACGAGTTATGAGAAAAGTATTGATTATTTTTCTTTGCCAAATTTATGCGATTTTTACCTAAAAATGTCGCCAAGTCATTGAACTTCTGAAATTTATTTTGGTATTGTTTATTAGCGATGTCGCCGAAAGTCACGTCGATTTCTCGGAGGTGTTCCTGACGGCGACGGGGACGATGGTGAGCGTAGCGGAGATTTCTACAACACTCCCGCATCACCAATCACAGTGCCCTATTGCCCTCGGCCACCATCAACAGGTATTTTCATTGTTTTAATTTATTCTACGAAAATCGCATCATTCACTTGTTTTCACAATGATAACCAGCAAAGTGCAATCTGTGATGTTGACACAATTTGTTAACATTGCATGTGTCATTATTTTGCATTCAAAATGAGTGGACAAAGTTTCATGCTTGATTTGATGCGGCCAGGTTCGCAGAAATCACCCAGGTCTCGCCGGCAGCGGACTACGTCGATCAATCAGTCGTCGAAGAAGACGTCCGCCGAATCGATGATTCGCACGCCACATCGCACGATTTACACGGCCGGCAGGCCGCCGTGGTATAACATGGCCGGACAACAGGTCGAACCTTTTGTTATCGGTACGTTTTCAATCGCACTGCTTTTATTTCTAAAAATAATGTAAAAATAAAAATGATTTAGGCATTTGTGGAGGTAGCGCTTCGGGAAAGACAACAGTCGCAGCAAAAATCATTGAGGATTTAGCCGTGCCATGGGTGACTTTATTGAGCATGGATTCGTTTTATAAAGTGCTTAATGAAAAGCAGCACGAAATGTCGGCGCGTAACGAGTATAACTTTGATCATCCGGACGCGTTTGACTTTGAGTTGCTAATTGAAACGCTGGAGCGACTCAAAGAGGGCAAGAAAGTTGAGGTGCCGATTTATAACTTCGTCACGCATTCAAGGGAGACCCGCACGGTGAGTAAGAAAAGAAAACTATAGGTTTTTGTTTAAATTTAATTTGGTTTTATGTTTATTTTTTGTTTCGGTCGTGTCTCAAATGTTCCTTTAAACATTCGATATTTATTACCACATTAAAGGCATGTAAATTGTGCTGATATCGCCTTGAAACACAATTATATACAACCACACATGTCGCGCGGCTGCTTGTGTAAATAAGCATCATCACACACGCTAATGCCCAGCGTAAATGTTTGTTTTTTCTTCACCAGAAAACCATGTACGGCGCCAACGTTATAATCTTCGAAGGCATTTTAACCTTCTACAATCAGAAAGTATGTGAAATGCTGGATATGAAAATCTTTGTGGATACTGACGCAGACGTGCGTCTGGCGCGCCGCTTAAAGCGTGATATTTCTCAACGCGGACGGGATCTTGAAGGTGTTTTGAAACAGTACACCGGAATGGTGCAGCCATCGTTTAATCACTACATCGCGCCACTGATGGTGCATGCCGATATTATCGTCCCGCGCGGTGGCGAAAATGAAGTCGCCATTCAGCTGATCGTGCAGCATGTGCACGCACAACTTCAGTTGGTAAATTAAATGATTGTTTAGTCTATTTCCAAAGTTTTGATTAACATATTTTTGTGTTCAGCGTGGGTTTAAATTGCGGGAGGAATTAGCACAGACGCAGACGTATGCTGGACAAAACGTCCGGATACTGTGCGTTTGTTACCTTCGACGCCGCAAATTCAAGGGCTACACACGTTCATTAGGAACAAGGACACACCGCGTGATGAGTTCATTTTTTACAGCAAGCGATTGATACGGCTTGTGATCGAATATACGCTCTCTTTGATGAATTTTGTTGAGAAGGTCGTGGAGACACCACAGGGTGTATTTTACAAAGGTAAAAGTTGTTGTTTGGAATGTTTCAGCGCAAATTTTGATTGTTTTGTGTTTATAATTTAGGTAAACGTATGGGGACGAATAAAATATGCGGTGTGTCAATTTTGCGCGCTGGAGAAACCATGGAACAAGCTTTTTCGGACGTTTGTAAGGACATTAGGATAGGAAAGATTTTAATTCAGACCAATTTTCATACAGGTGAACCTGAGGTATGTCGGAAACTTATTTTTTTCATTTGATATTAAATTTACTCATAATATACTCTTTTGTTGTAGCTATTCTATCTCAGATTACCTAAAGATATCAAAGATTACAAGGTGATATTAATGGATGCAACGGTGGCGACAGGAGCGGCGGCCATGATGGCAATCCGCGTGCTTTTAGATCATGACGTGTCTGAAAGCAACATTCTCATCGTGTCGCTGTTGATGGCCGAATCGGGCGTGCAGTCAATTGCCTACGCTTTCCCAAAAGTGCAGATGGTTACCAGCGCTATCGATCCAGAGATCAACGAAAAATTCTACGTGCTGCCTGGTATGGGCAACTTTGGGGATCGTTACTTTGGTACAGAGCCGTCGGAGGAACTGTGAGGAAAGCAGAAGAGACAAGCCTACCATTAGCGTTATTTAAATATTTAAAAATTGAAAACGAATTTCAAATATCCAGAATGTCCGGGCGGCGGGTTGTGATAGCGACGATTTTCCTTAATTGCTTCGGTTTCTAGTCTTAACTTACATACTTAACACACACTACTTAATTAGAACAATTGTTTTAACTTGCTAACACCCATTGTGTTTTGTAGTATTATAACTTAACGTTAAGTTGCCGAGCGAGCGTATTAGTCACGCGGAAACCAAATAATTCGACGAATATGACTAAAACTTGCAATCGTTTATTTTCGTAAGTTACCAATATTGATACAATTTACAAAATTACCCGAACTATCTGATTCAATGATTATAATCCAAAATTGTTTTGTACGTTTTATAATGTTAAACATATTATTACTGGTTGTGCTTTGAGAAATCAAAAATTGAAATGAACGTTATGGGAATTATTTCAAGTTTTGTGCATCGACATAGCGTTGCAGGACAACAAACCAATGATTAGATTTGTTTGAAGTGTACGGCGCATTCGACTCGTTTAACTTTTTGACAACATCTTCACACTCTTGCAGAGAAGCGTCCAGTGTCATGAATTTCATCCCCCAACCGGTTTGAAAACCAGAGTAACGTGTCTGTAGTTGTTTATTTATTGGTGTGTCATTTAACAACTTCACGGCAAAGCGCAGTGCCTTGCCGTAAGAATCCAATGCGCTTACATACAATTCCATCGCTTCTTTTGCTTCAATGTAGCTTTGATTATTGAACGGCAAATCGAATGTGATACCACACTGACCGAAACCTCCCTTTTCAACGATTGCGTGAATTGTTAATGTGGCAGTAGTGATATCTTCTGGGCATTTAATATTCAGGCAACCTGAACATCCATATCTGTAATGCATGATATTTTTTAATTTGTGTTATTTTATAAGTGGCAATATCACTCACGCATGCGCCATGTTGAAAGCATGACCTGGCCGAACGTTGATCTTGAAATACCGGTCGTAGTTTAAATGTTTCAGTAGTAACATCAAGTCGAATGCATTGTTTGTGTAGTAATGTTCATGTTGGCTTAATGTGTCGGTGTTTGAGAGATTATTTTGGTGCGCGAACAACATTTGACCACGGAAACCAATCTTGTCACGGTGTTCGATCAGGAGTTTAAGAAAACGCGAGTAATGTTTGATTTCTTTGCCCAAATCTGTGTTCAATGTGTTGACGTAGGTCTCGCGGTGGCCGTTGATAAGGAAACACTCTGCGTTTAATCTGTGCGCCATTTCGATAGTGCGTTTTGTCTGATAGCCTGCGAAAGCCATCACGTTCGGGTCCGGATTTGTCATGGCCCCGTTAGCATATCTTTAAAGTCATATTTGAGTATTGTTTAGAATATTTATGTTAAATATTTGTTTTACCTGCTATGTTGAAAATTTACACCGATCCAGAGCGGTTTTACGCCAGTTTTCTGCTGATACTCATTGAGCAGCTCACAAATTTGCTCGTAATTAGTTGAATTTTCTTCGAAAGTGTCCCCGTCGGGTACCAGATCGTCTTCGTACCCGGACCAAAATTTCACTCCCATTTTAAGGCATAACTCGAACATTGCGCGAATATTTTTCTTTGTTGTTTCCATCGAAGTATGCCGGGCTTCTAAAGTTTTGTACAGAATTGGTGCCTGGTGGGTATAGAAAGACATTTCGGTGTTGTACACGACAGAAGGACGCAGCCATTCTTCCATAGTGCGACCATGAATCCTCTCCGCGGCATTGTAATAGCGGTAAGAAAGTTGTTCATCACATGTGTAATTTGCGTCGGGTTTATATTCAATTCTACCTATTCCTAAATTCCAAAAATGGGTAATGATTTTATTTGTTTATAAAAGATATTTTTACCTTGGAAAGTTTCTGCATTTTCCATCGGACGCGTTGCTTCTCGGGTGACTTTCAGTCGCTTAACACTTGCTGCGGCGTACATCTTTTGATTTGGAGATTGTTTCTTAGTTGCTTGTATTTATATTCGTATTCCTTTTAATTTTGGAAATTTAATCTATTTAGTAAAACTTGAGAGTGTGTTGCAGGTTTTGTTTAAAGTTATCAGTGCGACGCGTTACTCGAGCAGGTATTGTTTTGCGCTTAGAAATATAATATTTTGATGTTTTTATTGCAGTTTTGTGGCTTCTTCACTGACACCAATGAAACTACTACCAATTATAATTAAATATTTATTAAATATTGTTGTTCTTTATTCCGACGGGTAAAAATTGAATGTTCATGGATTAAAAATTAATAAATTTATGCCCAATTTATTATTTTATCTTAATTCAGTTTGGCTTAAATTTACTTATTATTGGTGTAGGTGCTAAGTAGAGTTGGATAGTTACGATGTAACAAAATATTACAAAACAATTATGTAAAAAATTTAAATTTATTAAATTAAAATCATGCAATCTTCTAGTATAAGAAATCAGAATTACACAATTCGAAATTTAATTTTTCATCATTTTTAATCATTTAAATTCCGGGACTTCTATCTGTGTTATTCACAGATGCCACTACGATGCGCAAATATAAAATGGATTTATTCTGCTTCTTTTTATATTTATCCGCAATCGTGGACCCGAGAATTGTTTTGAACACAATGTTGTTATCTGCGTTTGTATATAAACAACTTTTTTATTGCATTCGCCGTGTGAAACGCCGCACGCAAGATTCGGGTGTGTAATTGTTGCCATCTCCATGCAAATTATATTCCCCGTTTGTGTCGAGCGGTTTTATATTAACGATTTCGTTATCGACTCACGAGTTATTAAATATAATTTATTTATTTATTGGTTCGAATCGCGATCGCGGATTAGAATTGGGTTTAGACTTTGATTCACTTTTGTTGGTTTTCTTAGGATTTGTTAAGTGGGTTCTTGATGATCGATTCAGAAGAACTTGTTAACTTTCACTTGTTTATTCAACGAACTTGGATGATACAATAATCGCTTAGGTCTAGGTCTGCGCTCTATTTATATGGCTCTAATATGCGTTTTAAATAAATATGAAGAGAAGATGCGCAACGAAACAGGAAATGCGCAATTAGGTGACTTTGAGACAATGAATTCTAGAAATTGATAATTACGTTTGAAATAAATAATTACTGCGCTTGAAATAAATATCATGATTGCGTCTTAACTAATGATTCTTGTTTGGTCATCGGGTTCTGTTCATATAACTTGCATGCATCCATCTGCATGCCGTTTGGTTTGAATCTCAAGTAGATATCATGTCTATTGCCGCGCCAACTTTACCCTTCACATCAGTCTATCTTATGAACAGCGGTCGTGTTCGAACTTGTTATTTTGTTTCAGTGGATTGAAGTTAGTTCCGTGCCGGTCTTTGGTTGATTGTGACGCGTTTCTCACGGCTCATATTTTTCTCAGGTTAATTCGACAATTCGTGTTGTAGTAGATCAATAAGCGAGTATTTATTTGCAACTAGCATCTATAGTACTTTTCCTGTTATTTCTCGCGTCATTGTGCATAGTGCAAGTTACAAAATCCTGGCTTCACATGTTTAATTGTGAGTTGTGTTCGGTGTCGGTTGAATGGGATACATTTCGCCGTCATGTTGATTAATTCATCATTAAGATGATCCATCGTACTAGCCAAGGTAACTTTTAACTGAACAACAAAACTTATTTGTCTTTCTAGAACGTATGAATATAATTCATATGTATAATTACATTGTATTAAATATTTTTGTTTTGCTGGGATCAACAGGCCAAAACACGGGAACCCTTTGTAATATTTTAGTGTTTTCTTTATATTATAATCGGGCAAGAGTGCATTTTTAAGATGCACCCCCTAAACACCGCGAGATTCGGTCGTATCTGTCTCAAAACACGCTGTGGAAAACAGGCCATATCTCGGGAACCCTTTGCTATATTTTAGTGTTGTCCTTATTTTATGATAGAGGAAGAGTGCATTTTTAAGATGCACTCCTGAAACTCCGCGAAATTTGACCGTAACTGCCTCAAAATGGCCGTCAAAAATTTACTCTCTTTTCTTGCATTATTCAAACCACGCGGTGGAAAACAGGCCATATCTCGGGAACCCTTTGCTATATTTTAGTGTTTTCCTTATTTTATGATAGGGGAAGAGTGCATTTTTAAGATGCACCCCTGAAACCCGGCGAAATTCGATCATAACTGCCTCAAAATGACCGCTAAAGTTTGCCGCGCGGGAGAAAACAGATCATATCTCGGGAACCATTTATGATTTTTTTAATTTGTTTGAATTTTATTGGAACCAGAATTCTTCCTGAAGATATAGTTTTGTGCCCTTGCAAAATATTTGCAATTGAAATAAATCAACAAAAAATGTAAAATTGCTAATTTTAGCAGTTTCAGTTGTGTTTTTGTACCATTTTCCCCATGAAATTCAATTATTTTCCAATCTCATTTAGTTTGGATGATAGTCGCTATCGAAAATTAACGATAAAAATTATCGTCCCCCCTATTGCCCGTTTTGAAATAATTGGGAAATTTTTAGTATTTTCATTGCCGAGAAAGAATTGGTGTTTTAAATAATGTTTTGGAATTAATTATATAATTATTTATTTCAATTTTGCAAAGTGAAGTGGTACAATTATTAGTATTATTACACTATACATTGAAATGGAAATAAATATAATATAATAAACAGCAACGTTGTGTTTTGATTCCACGAAATAAAGATTCGATACCTGCAGGTAAACAAACTTATCTTTTGCGCGAAATCGCGTGATCGCACACGGACACGGTGTGCACTCACTACCACCAACAAGCAATATTTAATGCAAAAACGTACATCGTAGCGTCATCTAACATATGAAAATATTTATCAGCGTAAAAATATTCAAAGCACATTTATCAAATATGCAACAAGCTTGAGATTGCAATGAAATTGAAAATAACGAAAATCATACACGAAACAAACCAGTATTTAATAAATGATTTATTTAATTTTTTAATAAATAATAAATATATCAGATAGTGCTAAGTTGTTTCGTTTACATACATACGCACTAACGCTCTTCCTTACGTGCAAGCGTGTGTAGGTATGTGAGTGTTGTCTGTTACCTGCGTTTGTGTATAAACCATTTTTTATCGCATGTGTTCCGCGCGCCGTCCTCTAGCGCCGCATCTACTTGTTGCATACAGTCGCGTGTGCTAAGGCTTTGCGCATGAGGATGCACTTACACGCGGGGCAGCAGGCTGTCTTATCATATCGTCAGCTGTGGTGTGTTTATTCGGCATGTCTTAGCATACTCGGTTATGCTGCGGCCAGTTTTGTGCCGGTCTGTTATTGCTTCGGATGTGCCTCTCGCGACTTATATGATTCAGTAATCAGTGTTGCAATAGATTGATAATCGAGTAAATTTTCACCGCTGCGGTTTTATCGTGTGCAGTTGCCGTTGCGGGTCGCTTCATTTCGGCGTCATGTTGATTTTTTCATCATTAGGATGACCCATCGGGTTTCTCTAGGTATCTTTCAACTAATTATTTGTTTTACTTGGATGTGTGAATATAATATTAAGCAAATTTATGAAATATTTTAACTTGTGTTTTAATTTATTTATAGAACTTTTTGGGTTTTAATTCCGATGAGTTCCGCTTTGGTAAGTTAATATTTTAATTTAGTTTGGTCTTTTCATCTACGAGTTTATCAGTACGTTTGTGTATAAACAACTTTTTTTGTTCGACGCGTATTATGGCTACGTACCAGCCTTGTACCTGGCAAAGCAAAGCGCACACGGCAGTCGTTTCACCGCGTGGTCCGCGAACGTGTCTCTCTAATCGCCATGCGTTTTAAGGTTTTAATTGAATTAATGGTCGTTGTAATTTTTGACCATCAGCAAAATATTCTCAATGGGCATGTGTGCCTGTGTTGTTTAATGATTTGTCGCGTTTAGAATCTCTTTAAATAAGAAATAAGTGTGCATCAATTTGTGCGTTTGTTTTCAGTTGATAGAATATATTCCAGGATATAAAATTCCCTCATCATTGCATAGGTAGGTGTGTAATTCATTTTTTTACGGAAAGTTACGCCGATTTAACTTAAATTGATTATTCTATTTGAGTGATATGAAATTTGCATGAATCATCTTGCAAATTACAAATACATGGTATGTAGCATTTTTATCAGAACTCTTAGTTTCGTTTCCGAAAATAATATGGATGATTTAATTAATACAAATACTGTTTTAATAAAGTATCTTAAGATTATTAAAATTGGCAATATTTCTATGGTTGGCGACGCTCACTTTGCCGTCGGCCGTCGGCTCGGCCGTCTTTTCGCAGAACACGTGAATGTTTTTAATCAATTTGCGCTCCTTAGCATCATTAAATTAATAAGTTTCTTGCTAACCTAGAAAAATCTTGTACGTTTAATAGTTTTTCGTTTTCATAATCTCCGTACGTTTAAATATTTACAAAAAAAACAATAGTTATTTATATCCTCTCTAACAACTGTATTGCTACGCGCCGTCGCTTGCCGTCAGCTGATTTGAATGTTTTCCGCAGGATAACATTCTTTACCCGTCGGTTACTTTATGCAGTTGATGCATCAATTAATAAATATACATTCACAATATATTAAAATATTGTTGTTTATTTGTAAATTTCCCTCTTCATGTTGTGAATATTAAACTCCCTTTGTAACTTCTAAAGTTTCCTTTTTGTAACACCATGTATATTAGTTTTCCTAACACTACGTAGAAAATCGCCGGTATTTGTGTGTTTCGTGTGCTCTTTGTTTCAACTAGAGATTTTCTTTCTTAAACACCCTGTATATTCATTTTTCTTTGTGTCCCTGAAAATTTTGTTTTAACTGTTGTTTTTAGAGTTTTGCTCATTGCCCTTTAAATTTTCTTTTTGTGACACCCTGTATATTAGTTTCCCGGAGCCTCGGGTGAAAAACGAATGATATTTGAAGTGTTAAAATGTTTTTCTGTTTTCATATTAAATTTTTCATTTGTAACACCCTGTATATTTGTTTCCATTTTCAACCCCGTAGAAAACAGGCCATTTGCTAATTTCATTATTCCGGTAGAACTGTGCGAAGTGGTACTTGCTTATATGTGCGCGGTTTAGCAGGTCGTAAGTCCGGTTTCATTATGGCGACATGTATTCTGTTGACATGTAAAATCTAAACTTGTATTCTATTGTTAATAAATAAATAGTAAGATATATTGACTTCTTTGATTTGCGTGTTCGCCTTCTATCATTTCAGGAACAGGTCTCTATGAGAGTTCCCTCTCTCAGGGGATGATCCCCTCTATAAAAATTGTTAAGGTAACCTGTATGATTTGTGTACTCCTTCTCTCATTTCAGGTACAGGTCAGAACTTGTAAGAATATTTTTAAGTGTCGCCTCTCTTGAGACGACTTAAAACTTAGAAATATTTGAACAAGACCTTATAAGGATTGTCCTTATAAGGAGATCCCCCTCTCTGGGGGTGATCCCCCACCATAAAAATTGTTGATATGCCTGATAATTTCGGGGATGAAGCGCAGAGACATCGTAGCTGTAGGATGGGCCGGGAGCAATGGACGAACCGAAGCAGTGGGCGATCGACCAGAGCGCCGGAGGCGCTCTGGGAGATCGACCGTGACTGTCTTATAACGACACGTGCCAAAAAATTTAAAAATCTGATCCACTCCTGTGTCTCTTTCTTCTATCTCCTCCTCTTCTCTGCTCTACTCCTCTGTTGTTCTCTTCCTTCTGTCTTCTCCTATTCTCCTCTACTACTCCTTCTTCTATTTCTCTGTTCTCTCGTTCTCCATTTACTTTCATACATCTCTTATTGCCTCCACTTGTATTTCAATTTCTCATATATTTCGTTGCAATTCATATATGCAACCCAAATTTCACCTGATATTTTTATATTTGAGAAAAATGCCTTCTATACCTGAGATTCGATCCGTGTCTGCCAGCATGCCAGCAGGTGCACGTCTCCACTCGACCACCGAGTGTTTTTATCATTAATATTTGATTCTTCTATTTATGTTTTTACTTTATTCAACTTTTTAAAAACAACAACACAACGCAAACAACAGCTATACTCGTATATTGTACACGCTCGACGCACTTAAGATTTATCCTGCAAACGGCAAAGGGGAAACCAGAAAGAAATATGAAGAATTATATAATATTACATTATGTTTTATTAGCAACATTAAAAACAACATATATTGATTTAAAATCGAAAATCAGAGGCAGCTCTTAAATCTCCTGGAAGTAAAACTTGCCTTGTAATACGCGCATCTCTAACATTTCTGCGACGGAAGCGGTAGACTCCTTGGCACAAGTGCTGCTAAACTTCTTCAACAGGCATCAACGTTGTTTATTTATACTAATTAAAACACACTACACAAGGTGCAAGCAAACATTAAAACACAAACAACTGCAATACAAACCAAATTATTTACATATAAAAATGAATTCTACTTGCTTGGACAGTACAACAAACATGTATGTACACATTAATACATAAATCCAGCAAAGTCATATACACAATAAAAAGAGTTCTCAAGTTCCACATACACAATAACATAACACAAACAGCAATCAAGGAAATGTTCTCAAGAAGATGCCACGCACAAACACAAATCTAGGATTATGCGCACTGTCGATGAAAACCCCAACAATTTCCCGCCACATGTGAAAATCCTACTTAACCACCCAATTTTCTTCGACTTTAGGTATGATGCAGACGCAACTTCTGCAACAAATTAATACAATCCCAGGTAGAATTTAATTTGACATTTCTAGAATCCGCACGGAAATTTCTAGGCCGCCTCACTCGCAGGCAACAATTTCAGAAAATGAAAATAAAGGAAGTCTGCACTTTACCGTTCTTTCTCGGTTTCCACGAAGAACATCGTCCATGTTCCCAGGGCAAAATACCAAACACAACGACACAGAGAGACCGCAAATAAATGAAATAATATCACAACACACATTGCAAGGCGTTGCAGGTTCATGCTACCTGCACCATGCACGCTTGCAGTGTAAACAAGTCGATAACACGCGGCCAGCCTGCAATACGCACAACGAACGCAAAGAAAATTAACGATTTTGAATATTCGACACCCGTTTATCTATTAATGAAACACTAAACACGTGAGGAACAACTAAATCCAGCCGATGGACAATTGAAATGAATGCGATTTACCGAATTACAAACTAAAAATAAAACGATAACAGTCGCGAGAAACACGTCCAACCCGAACAACGACCGGCACAAAACTGTGCTGAGCACAGCGCGCAGCACAATCAACGGCGGCACGCGACCACATGCGATAATACTGCGCGCACGCCGCAAGACAACGCGCAATATTTGCAACAAACAAGGTCGCATGCAAGATAGTCAGCTCAGGAATTTCGACTAGAAAATTGCAAGTGTGATTTTGAGTTAAATATATATTAAAACTGCAATAAATTTGCTTATAATTATAATTTAACTATATATAAAAGAAATAAATAAATTTTGTTTTAACAAAACTTAAACAAAATTTCAATACAGGGAGGTACAGAATTAAATTCCGCATAAAGGAAAATAATTTCGAACCTATTGTGACACGGCGTTCGTGTGTTATATCAAAAAAACTACAATTCGTAGCACAACGAGTACTACGGCGCACACACACAACTTTCAATATAACTCGTGTTATGGAATTTCTGGCAATAAATTTCAATACAGGAAGATACAGAATTAAATTCCGCATTAGGGAAAATGATTTCGAACTTAGTGTGACACCGCGTTCGTGTGTTAATACATAAAAACTACAATTCCTAGCGCAACGAGTACTACGGCGCATTTTCTTCAATCACGAACATCTCGTAAACTAAAAGAGATATTTAAGATCTGATCGCAGCGTCTTAATCTACGGACTAATCTCTATCAGATAGCTTAGTTAAAACGGAAATCTGAGAGATGAAATTTTACATCTTAAGATAAAATTGCCAAGGGGGGGTGCTTGATACTTTTTTTCGACGATTTTCAAAAATTCATATCTCTTAAACTAAAAGAGATAGCTACCAACGAATTGTTGATTATGAAAGACTGGAAAATTCTCTATCAGACAAAAATATAAAATAATTATATTTCCTACAGTAAAAGGTCGAAAAACGCGACTAAAAGTGCAAAAAAGTGACATTTTGCAATTTTTGCCAATTTTATTCAATCGCGAATATCTCGTAAACTAAAAGAGATAATTAAGATCCGATCGCAGCGTCTTAATCAACGGATTTTTTTCTATAAGATAGCTTACATTGTTTAACCGCGTTCGCGTGTTATATTATAAAAACTACAATACCTAGCGCAACGAGTACTACAGCGCACACACACAACTTTCGATATAACTCGCGTTACGGAATTTTCTGGCCAACTATCAATATAACTCGCGTTACGGAATTTTCTCGCAATAAATTTCGATACAGGAAGATATAGAATTAAATTCCGCATAGAAGAAAATTATTCCGGACTTACAGTAAGACCGTGTTCGCGTGTTATAACAAAAAAACTACAATTCCTAGCGCAACGAGTACAAGTGCGTATACACACAACTATCAATATAACTCGCGTTACGGAATTTTCTCGCAATAAATTTCGATACAGGGAGATACAGAATTAAATTCCGCATCTAACAAAATTATTCCGAACTTACAGTAAGACCGCGTTCGCGTGTTATAAAAAAAACTACAATTCCTAGCGCAACGAGTACAAGTGCGTATACACACAACTATCAATATAACTCGCGTTACGGAATTTTCTAGCAATAAATTTCAATACAGGGAGATACAGAATTAAATTCCGCATCTAATAAAATTATTCCGAACTTACAGTAAGACCGCGTTCGCGTGTTATAAAAAAAACTACAATTCCTAGCGCAACGAGTACAAGTGCGTATACACACAACTATCAATATAACTCGCGTTACGGAATTTTCTAGCAATAAATTTCATTACAGGGAAATACAGAATTAAATTCCGCATCTTATAAAATTATTCAGAACTTACAGTAAGACCGCGTTCGCGTGTTATAATACAAAAACTACAATTCCTAGCGCAACGAGTACAAGTGCGTATACACACAACTATCAATATAACTCGCGTTACGGAATTTTCTAGCAATAAATTTCGATACAGGAAGATACAGAATTAAATTCCGCATCTAAGAAAATTATTCCGAACTTACAGTAAGACCGCGTTCGCGTGTTATAATAAAAAAACTACAATTCCTAGCGCAACGAGTACAAGTGCGTATACACACAACTATCAATATAACTCGCGTTACGGAATTTTCTCGCAATAAATTTCGATACAGGGAGATACACAATTCAATTCCGCATCTAACAAAATTATTCCGAACTTAAAGTAAGACCGCGTTCGCGTGTTATAATAAAAAAACTACAATTCCTAGCGCAACGAGTACAAGTGCGTATACACACAACTATCAATATAACTCGCGTTACGGAATTTTCTCGCAATAAATTTCGATACAGGAAGATACAGAATTAAATTCCGCATCTAAGAAAATTATTCCGAACTTACAGTAAGACCGCGTTCGCGTGTTATAAAAAAACTACAATTCCTAGCGCAACGAGTACAAGTGCGTATACACACAACTATCAATATAACTCGCGTTACGGAATTTTCTCGCAATAAATTTCGATACAGGGAGATACACAATTCAATTCCGCATCTAACAAAATTATTCCGAACTTAAAGTAAGACCGCGTTCGCGTGTTATAAAAAAACTACAATTCCTAGCGCAATGCGTACAAGTGCGTATACACACAACTATCAATATAACTCGCGTTACGGAATTTTCTCGCAATAAATTTCGATACAGGGAGATACACAATTCAATTCCGCATCTAACAAAATTATTCCGAACTTAAAGTAAGGCCGCGTTCGCGTGTTATAATAAAAAAACTACAATTCCTAGCGCAACGAGTACAAGTGCGTATACACACAACTATCAATATAACTCGCGTTACGGAATTTTCTCGCTATAAATTTCGATACAGGAAGATATAGAATTAAATTCCGCATCTAACAAAATTATTCTGAACTTACACTAAGACCGCGTTTGCGTGTTATAATAAAAAAAAACTACAATTCCTAGCGCAACGACAGTGCCGGTTTTAGCACTACGGCGCCCCCTAACTGCAATTCAAAGCCATACAAAAAAAACCGGCCAAGTGCATGTCGGCGCCCGTTAAAGTCATGCCCTAACGCCGGTACTGCTCGTGCGTATATTCCAATGCGGTATGTATAAGTCGATGTTTAACACTCCAAAAGCCAAAATGAAATAAAAATTATTCATAATAGAAGTGAACAAGAATCTAAAGAACATGAAATGTTACGCTGTAACATTTCGCATGCAAATAGATAAGAATGTACACAATAACAATAACAAATCTTATCACTTATCGTTCTAAACCGGCGTGCTCGCGTATGAATAAGACTTCTAGAACGATGCATGAGTTCAACAAAGACAACAATTTCAGCACAGGAAAATGAGGAAAACCTGTCCTTACCTCTATTTCTCGACTTCCACGCAATTTCTTGAAACCAGAACATGACGGCCGGCGCAACTGGAACAGGAATATAACGACGCCATCAGACGATACATACGAGAACGTCCAATATCACTAAACATCGGCGGTGGATTACTACAAAATACAGTTTACCGAAAGAAAACCTCAACCCGATTTCAGGAATAACAAACTCACAACGAAAACGATTGTAGCAAAAAACGTGGCCGACCACATAAACGCTCGGTGCAGAACTAAGCACATCGCGTAAGTCGAGTACGCAGCGACGGCATGCGGCAATACGCGATAAGACTCATACTTACTCCTACAATCCGATCGAATCTACTGCGAATTAATACTCTTAAAAATGAGGGCAGAGACAACTAACTAACTGGAAAGTTAACCGACGGTACTTCGGAACACAACACAATTTACAAGACTAAATTAGTAACAAAAATGGCAACTCGCAGTAACCGTCCGCGGGCCGGCACTCACTGAAAACAAATGAGCCGAACAAGGTCGCGCCAAAAATCAAATTTAACTAATGCCGATCATATATACAAACTTGATCGTGCACATAAAACTAGAGTATACACCTCTCGCTCTAGGCCATATGACAACTATAAGTAAGTATTTCTATCTCACTTTCCAATCTGAAATACACTATCCATGTTATTTTTGTATGAAACAGACGCCTCAAAACAAAACAAGCAAACAGTTACCTCAAAACATTCAAATTTTTCTGATTTTACTTGCATTTCATTAAAATTTACGGTCAAATTCAAATAAAGCAAGTCAAGGAATATAATTACACTTTACACTTAATTATACTCTTTACACACACCGCCGAAATTGCTAAGAGTTTCCGATCGCGTGCAATCTTCAGAAAAACAGCGTCATAGAAAATACGAACAATTTTTCAACTTACCAGCTTCATAGGTGTTTCCCCGACCAAATTCTTCTACAATCTCGAACAAAGATTCAACTACGCCAACAGCCGATCGCAGATTACTCTCGTACAGATATTGAATATTCGATGCTCGAATAATTATTAACAAAGCACTAAACACGTCATATTCAAGTAAATACAGTCGATTGATGATCCAATATAAAAGAATTTATTGAATTAAACACGAGACACGAGCCGCGAGACTTGCGCCCGACCCAAACAACAACCGGCACGATACTAAAAAAGCAAGTACACCGCACAAATGCCGATAAGACTGCCCCGCACTCCGCAACCCATTGCACACTATTTGCAACGACGAAAAATGCATTCAAGATAGCAAACTGACACAGAGTGCGACTGAAAAACTTGTTTATACACAAACACCGATTAAAACAAGCATTCAAAACGAAAACGGTTCTAGTTGTATGTCGCTATAAAAGACTGATGAATTATTTATTATATTTATATTATTTTGTTATTTTCCTAATATTGCTTCAATAAAAGTAATAGGAAATACTGTACTTTTATCAAATTCTGACGGTAACGATTTAATACCTCCTCAAACCTGAGCAGGATTCATTGTTTTTAGATTTTAGTCAAGCTAAGTGAACATATAAACAAAAAATCAAGGAATATAGATTTTTGATATGCCATACCACAGACTTAGTTCTAAATAAATAGTATATTAACAAAACACAAAAAGTATAACATAACAAATTACCAGCTGCATCATTATATTGATCCTCATATTTTATCACTAAATCGAGATTAATCGGTATTCACCTAACGCACTCTCTAAACGTGAATGACTGCTATTCAAAACATAATATAGACAACATTAGTTGGTGTGATTCATCGCTATAACATAAGCAATTCTAACATATAAAAACTCATGCGAACCTAAACGCGATTATGTAAAGTATCATAGGAAAATAGTAACTTTTATATTCGTATATGTGGCTTACTTAAGTCGTTTGTTATCTGTTCACAATAAATTTGATTTCTAATCAAGAACTCGGCAAGTTCAAGCAATTCGATACGTTCAAACTCGAAACGTGTTTGCGATTGGCAAAGAATTAGTTTAGAGACACCATTGAACAAGAGAACCGCTACAGAATCTAGTCGCCATTACATTATTAAATGCTTATAACCAACACTGCGCTACTCAACAAAATAAATTGAGATATACTCGAAACAAAATCTGCTCGACTCTTTTCTGAAAGGCTTAAAATACATTACTTTTTATAATCTCATTTCAACCATATAAATATTGATTTGTGACTTTCCTCTGTCCTCTAAAATATGACATCCATTCATAGAAGATATACGATATATAATTAAAGCATCTTTTGATAACAGGACGCAAGAGTCGCTTCGTTGTCGACTCAACTAAAGCTTGAAAGATTTATCCGCATCCGCTTTATAACGAGAAAAATTTTAGGAATGCCGAAGGTGGCACCGGGCTGGGCGGTGAGATACCACCCGCTTCCTGCAGTCTTGCCCTAAACTCAGGGCATTGGTCAGCGATGCACGGGTGGCCCAGCGATCGCCAGAAGAGGCAGCAGCAGTAGCGGCAGAGCGACAACATTTCGGCAAATTGCATTTCTTCGCTTACACCATGACATCTACCAATCAACCATACATAAATTAATTGATACTTAATTAACAATTTTGATCACTTACCTCATGAGAGCGTGATAAATTTCACGCCAGTCCTTCTTATTGCACTTGACACGTATCAAATCAATCTGCTGTTTGGTAAAGTGGAA